GCAGGAATTTTCTAGCCCCTCTCGTCACCAAAGGACAACGGGCCAGAGATGAGGTGAACTACCTAAAATCCAGGTGGCATGAACACCTGGTGGTGAACTCCTGTAACCTGTGTGGCCCCGGGACCCATTCTGAGCACAAGGTGGCCCTTCTGGTACCAGAAGCAGGGCTGTCACCCTGACGTGCGCTCTCGTTCTCTGCCTCCTCCCGGATCCTCAAGGTGGTGAATCTGGATCCTGCATGCGCCTCGTAAAGCTGCCCCCGGTGACACCTCCCTGTGGGACAGCTGGATCCAGGCTGATACCAGCCCCTCTCCCCGCCCCCACATGACTCCCAGATGCACCACGGTGACACCTCGCTCACAGCGTGAGTCCACGGACCGTGGGCCTGTGTGACCCAAACCCACCAATTCCAACTCTCCATGGGAAACCCGTTTGGATGGTGCCCTGGACCCCAGTCTCCAAGGGCTCCCCAGCCCTGGCTGCCAGTGTGAGCCTCTAGTGTGCAAAGTGCCGCCAGGACCTGCGAGTAACAGACCTCCCCTCCTCTAGTCATGATCACTGGTGGCGTCCTCTCCACCTTGCTAACCCCAACGTGCCACTCTCAGGGGCAGCTGGACGGTCAGTGCCCACAGCCAGCCCCACAGGACCATGCAGAAAAGCTACGGTGGAAGCAGAGGCCAGAGCTACAGGGAGGAAGCCGCCTGCTGGGGGCTGGGGGCCAGGGACGAGCCCACGGGCCGCTCCCGCCAGCGTTCGGGAGGCTCAGATGGAGAAGCCAGGGGCTGTGCAGGCCCCAGGGGGGACACACAGGGTCAGAGAGGCCCAGGAGACGCTGCGGGGGGTGGCTGAGCCTCAGAGACTAAGAAACAGCAATCGGGGCGCAGCCTCTGCAGCTGCCTGCCCTGAGCTGCTCTCTAGCCGACAGCCAGGACAGTGGTCCCGGCCGCCACGAGCCTCATCATCGCGGGCCACCAGTCACTGGGCAATGCCCTGCTCAGTGTCTCCAGGCTCCTGGCTGTGCCCGTCTTCCCACTAGCGGCTCCTTACCATCACAACGCCATCAGGATCCTGTTTTATAGAGGAAGCTGAGGACATGCCCAAAGTCACCACCTAGTGAGGGAGCTGGGATCTGAACCCACCACCTCCAGCACACCACCACAGTGTCTCTGAAGAAAAGAGAAATCCACCAAGCTGTTGAGCTTGTCTGAGAGGCAGGGCTGGGTCAGACAGGAGGAAACGAGAGGTCTTCTGCTCAGGACCCCACGCTCAGAACTTCAGCAGCAGCCCTGGCATCTTGCTTCCAGGACCCTCCTCATTGCTATGCACGCAGCATGAGGGGTAGCCCTGTGCCTCCCCTCGAGTGCCGGCTCGGGCTCTGCCTGCATCTCCTACAGTCAGCAGCGAGTCCCGGGGCAGAGCCAGCGAGGGCCATCTCTGCCTCTCCCCCACGCCTGCCCGGCTCCTGCTACCAGAGCCTTCCAGGGGACGGGCTCCAGGGTAGCTCTTTAGGTGCTCGCTCTCACTTGCTCTCCCGACGAGCCTGCAGCACTGCTCTGCCAAGAGACACTAGCAGGAGGGACGGGCAGGGCCTCCGCCCCGCAAGGCCACATCCTGCTGTGGGGACAGACGGCAGCGCGTATGGGGACCACAGAGCCTCGGGGGCACAGACTGCGGAGCGCATGGGGGCCACGGAGCCTCGGGTGGGGGGGTGGGCAGACTGCAGAGCACATGGGGACCATGAAGCCTCGGGGGGACAGACCGTGGAGCGCGTGGGGACCACAGAGCCTCGGGGGGACAGACTGTAGTGCGCGTGGGGACCACGGAGTCTCGGGGTGACAGACTGCAGTGCGTATGAGGACCACAGAGGCTCTGCGTGGTGGCGTGACCAGGAGGCCACCAGACAGACGTTTGGGCGAAGGCCTGAAGGGCAAAGGAGGTGTCCACAGGTTATGAGGAGAATGCAGTGGCTTGCCGGAGATGAAGACAGGGGAGGGGATGAGGCCAGACCTGCAGGGAGAGCCTCAGCCCTGAGCGCAGTGAGGACTGTGGCCCCATTCTGAGAGTGGTGGGATGGAGTTATCCAATTTATGCTTAGAAGCTTCCTCTGACCCTCCTGCAGGCCATGGGCTGGGGGGACTAGGAAGGGCTGGGGGCCGCAAGGCAGTGACGCAGTCCGGCAGGAGGGGAGGTTCTGTGCGTGGAGGGCGTGAACTGAGAACAGAGGCTGGAGACTTCAGATGCAGCAGAGGAAGGGTGACAGCAGCTGCTGATGGCCCTGGGGCTCAGGAGAGATTAGGCAAGTGAACGCCAACTCCCAGGCCCTATAAGAAGCAGCAGAGCGAGCCTCGCACCTCACTAGCTGAGCCCGCTGTTTTCCATGTCTACCTGGAAATCCACAAAGAAACACAAAAAGGGTACTCGAGTGGTGCTCACTGGCTGCCGGTCTCCTGGAAAACGAGACCACGAGAAATGCACAGTGCCAGAGCCTTTGAGAGAGACGGGCATAAACAGCTCGGGAATAAGTTCTTATCTCTGGAATAAGAGCTAGACCAATGACTTCCTCAGGCGCAATGCGACGCAGGATTCCTAGTTAAGTCAGTAAGGCCCTTTCGGTTGGTGGTGAAACAGGTCTCATTGCCAGATGCCTACGACAGAGATGGTAACACGAGCTGCTGGCCTTCCCACCCAGGCTCCCCGCTCAGCATCACGCAGGCCGGGGGCATCGCGCCTCCACGCTGCGAGACCCATGCCAGCCTGCATCACGCCTGCACCGCGCACAGCCACTGGGCCGTGGGAGTCCACACCTTGCTCCCGCACAACCACCAGACCCGGGAATGGTTACCTCACCTGCTCTGGGCCGGCAGGCCTGCCAGTCCCAGGACACTAGACAAGCGTCAGAGCTCCCCCTGCTTTCTCTCACCCTTGATTTTCACTGCACTTCTAACTGGGCAGCTCCATAAACTCGAGAAGACACCCTCTTCATTGGGCATCCTACGCACGTGCCCAAAATAGGACAAACCTGATAAGGCCCCATCTCGGACAGCAGCACCTGCGCTGGCTTAGAAAGGCGGGACAAAGCAGATGTAGTCCGCTCTGCCGGACGCCCTGCCTGTGCTCCAGGGAAACGCCGTTCAATTCTTTTTTTTTTTTTTTTTTTTAAGAATTCTTTATTTAATTTTATCCACTGGAAAGAGAGAGAGTGGGACAGTGAGAAAGCAAGCCGCCAGGTCCAGGCTCAAACTGCAGTCAGACATGTGGGAGTCTGGCGCCTTCACCACAATGCCACCCGCTGGCCCCACTGATTCGATTCTTATCAAAAGAGATGAGCTGGAAATGGCCCCGGGCCTGGGAGTGGGGCTGATGCTGAATGCAGACAGGTCCTGAGGGGCACCACCCCTGCTGAATGCTGATGGTCCCGGGCTGGGACCTGGCGTGGTCACTGTCGCCTGAGTGACGACTCGGGCAGGTGACCTCGCCCTTCCCATGCAGACAGCCCAGTTAGGGTGTGACACCAGGAGGCCCTAACCCATCGAGAAAACCACGGCCTGCAGACAAAGCACTCAGCAACATCGTCACCTCTGCCCAAACAAATACGTGTTTCAAAACTCCAAGTAATGAGGGACCAGCAGTTAGCATAATGGCTATGTCGCTGGACTCCCACATAGTCGACCGCAGTTCGAGTCTCGGACCCAGTGGCTTAAACTCATGCCAGGCGCGTGTGCATGTGTGCCCAAGATCCTGAGAGATTTGAGAATGGAAGAGAAGGGATTGCGGCCATCCCCCTGGGGAGTGATTTCTCGCTTTCTGTTTCTCTCTTTCTGGCGAGTATACATGCCCTACAGCAAAAAAACTCTCAAAAGCAAACAAACAAACAAAAAACCCTCTGAGTAATGACAGCAATACACCATCTGGCCTAGTCCTGAACATAAGGGTCTCAGGGGCTCTCTGGTGTCAGCATGAGATTCACTTAAGGTGGACAGAAACCCGCATATCTGCTCCTCGTGAGCGGGGGGGAAAACAAGCGAGGAATCAGCTGTAGAGGACAAAGTCACCTCAGGACCCACGTGGAAGGCCGTGGTGACAATGCCCTCACACCCTGCCAGGGCCAGCTGGAGGAAGCCGAAGCCCAACCTGCTTCTCTGAAGTCTCATAGGCCCTGTGTACCCAGAGCTCCACAATGTTTCCAGGTTTAAGTAAACATACAGAATCATCCTAGAACTAAGGAGTCCTCATCAGGGGCCAGCAGGTAGCATGGTTATTAAGGCGCTGGGTTCCCATATGGCAGACCACAGTTCAGGTCCCAGACCTGGAGGCTTGAAGATCATGCAGGGAGCATGTGAGGGCGTGCCCAGGGTCTCAGGAGAATAGAGAAAGGACTGTGGAATGGCCATCCCGCCAGAGGGTGATTTTTCTTCTCCCTGTCTCTTCTCTCTCTGGCAAGTACACATGCCCTGTGGCAAACGAGAGGAAAAAAAAGTCCTGAACAGCAGCCATCGTGCAGGGCCCTCAGAGCCTGAGACTAAGAGGTAGGTCTCCTTCTCCCTTGTGGGCTGTGACCTCGGGAATGTCTTATGAAGAGCCCACGCACACCTGTACTCACAGCGCTCTGAAAGCGAGCCTTGCTCAAGTCAGAAGGACGAGGAAGTGCCGCGAGCATGGGAAGCACAAGCCCTCCAGAAACCATGTCAGACTGGAGGAGGGGCTGCGGCATAGCCATCTCCCTGGGAGGTGCTTCCTCACTTTCTCTCTCCGGCGAGGACACTCACCCTATAGCAAAAACTTTTTTTAAAAAAGAGAGTAAAGAGAAAGAAAAAGAGAGAGAGAGAGCTTTAATTAATAAGCAACAGTATCTTTTAAAAATAAGAACCATGGGGCTAGCAGGTGGTGTGGTGGGTAAGGGTGCTGGACTCCCACATGGCCAACTGCAGTTCAAGTCCCAGACCTGGCGGCTTACTCGCTTTCTCTCTCTTTCTCTCTGTTCTTTTCTGGTCAAATAAAAATAACAATAAAGACAAAATAAGAGAATTCTTAAAAAAAAATAAATAAACTATTAAAAAAAAATAAGAGACCGTGGCCCATGGCAGCCTAGCACAGGGCACCCTGGCCAAATGAAATGAGGGCAGAGATGCCCACAGTGAAGGGCTGAGGCGGGTCCATCCCCTGGCGGTTTTTCATTCTCATATAATCTGAGATACCACATGTTTCGAACTCCTGTTTAACAAAATGTCATAAACCGAAGAAATCAGGTTAGCTCTTGATTAGAGAAGACCAAAGTACCTATCTGCATGTCTATTTGTAAAACGATTCGTGGTGATTAACCCCTCAGCTTTCTTGGTCATATGTATCTCAAACCTGTCCCTTCCAAACGGTCTAGCCGTGTGTCCGTGCAAGCACCACGGGACGCAGGGCGTGGGCGCAGCGCCACCCGCATCTGAGCCTCGGCGGCCCGCACGCACCAGGTGGCTCTCGTCCTGGAAGGCGTAGTGCAGGGTGGTGATCCACTGGTAGTCGCCGTTCACCAGCACGTCGCGCTCCTCCCGGAAACAAGCAGTCTGCGAAGAGGAACGGGGTCAGTCTGTGCGGGCTCTGGCCCCTCGCTCACCGGAAGGCACGTCCACTCCCACCAAGCGGCCTCTGCTTCTGTTCTCTTCCTCTGGAGCCTTGTGCAAGGGCCAAGGCTGCTGAGGCACGCTGGCACTGCCCGTCCCCGCCTGCCAATTCCACGGCTACTGCCTGAGACTCAGCCTGTTCTCACGGGTGGATTTCGGCCAGCCTCTGACTTGGGCTTCTCCTGCTCAGCACTCCGACTTCTCACCAGACTAGTCCCCGCCACGTGCCCTGTGGGTGTGCCACCCCTCGTGTCCACCTCGCTGTCTAGCACCTGCGGCTCTGGCAAGGCCTGTTCACTGACCTGCATCGGTCATTTCCAAGAAATCTGCTTTATTCACAGTGTAATGAGGAACACGATCGTGACAGGACTCGACTATGGAGACCCGTGGCCAGGAGTGTGAGTAACTGGCTACCTTCCAGCCCGCTGGGATTTAGAAAGAAAAGAGCTCTATGGGCCAGCAGGTGGCATGGGAATGAAGAGAGCTGGATTTCACGTGGCCAGCTGCTCAGTTCAAGTCCTGGACCTGGCGGCTTGAAAATCACAATGGGCACGTGTGCGTGTATGCACAAAATCCCGAGAGGAGACTGGAAGAGAAGGGACTGTGGTGTGGCCATCCACCCCAGAGGGCATTCCTCACTTTCTCCCTCTACCGCAAAACATTATTAAAAAAAAAAAAAAAGAAAAGAAAGAAAACAAAAGAAAAAGAAGAAAATGCAAGTGGCAATATGTACTTAAAATAATTATTGGTACAATCATTAAACTCCTTGTATCTGAGACTTGGGAAAGCTCAGCAGAAATCTAAGCTGCACCGTGGGGAGCTCACTGTGGTAGGAAACGGGGCACGGCTGCGAGCTGCTTTCTCCTTTGACTCTGTGGTGACCTCTGTGACTTTTTTCTTTAAATTTTTCTTTTCTAGATGTTTATGAAGTTTTCCATCCAACAATCAAGGAAGACATGTCCCAGTCTATTCGTTAAGTGTGACGAGGGGGTAGCTGTTGGCTTGCCTGTCCCTGGGGGGGAAGAGGCAGGCAGTCCAGGACTTCGTTGTCAATGGCCACCTCAACCACAGGGGCTGTTAACGGATGGATAAAGCAACTCTGGGGACCAGCAGTTAGCGTAATGGCTATGTCGCTGGACTCCCACGTAGCCGACCGCAGTTCGAGTCCCAGACCCGGCGTCTTAATCTCACGCTGGGTGCATGTGTGTGCGTGCCCAAGATCCCTAGAGGAGAATGGAGGAGAAGGGATTGCAGCATGACCATCCCCCCTGGGGGTGATTTCTCGCTTTCTGTCTCTCTGTCTCCCTGTCTTTCTGGCGAGTGCACGTGCTCTATAGTAAGAATCTCTCCAAAAAAATTTAAAAATTCTGAGCACTGGAGTCCCTGACCACCTGTCTTCCAGAAACGTACGGAGGCAGTGAGTCTTGGGCTAGCAGGACCACAGACTTCCCAGAGGCTGTGGGCCAGGGAACTCACAGCACCCATACTGCTGAGTCTGGGTGGGGATGCCCGAGTTTTCCACCTCACAGGTTTAGGGCAAAATGTGTTCTTGAACAAGGGGTCACCTAGGTTGCAACCCACTAATAGGAAGTACAGAAAGAGTAACGTTGAGAGGTTTTAAGTTTTGCTATAGGATGTGTGTGTGATGGCAAAAGAGAGAGAAAGAACTAAGACCCCCCAAGTCGGGAGGCCACACTGCAATACCTCCTCCCTCGTTTCCTCTCGGAACTCTGGGCACCCACTCACATGCACTCAGCATGATTTTTAAGCCACCAAGTCGGGGACTCAAACTGCAAACTTGTCCACCTATTGGCTCTTGAGTATTTCTCAATGACCAGAAAAGGTGAAAAGAAAACCTAATTTGGTCTAAAAAGTATGAATTTACACTGCTTGGCAACTTTTCTACTGCCTGACTTATTTAATTCACGCTTTTCCTGAAAATTCCTGAGAAAAAATAATTTTAAATTTAACGTTGGGACCAGCAGTTAGCATAATGGCTATGTCACTGGATTCCCATGCAGTCGACCGTGGTTTGAGTCCTGGACCCGGCAGCTTAAACTCACGCCGGGCGCATGTGCGTGCATGCCCAAGATCCCAAGAGGAGAATGGAAAAGGGATTGTGGCATGGCCATCCCCCCGGGGGGGGGATTTCTCACTTTCTCTCTGTCTCTGTCTTTCTGGAGAGTGCAAGCGCCTTATAGCAAAAACCTCTCTAAAAAAAAAAAAAGAAAGAAAAAAGAGAAGAAAAATGTAATGTTTTAAGTCTATAAAATAAGAATAAAGAGACAAATTATCAAGCCAGTAGCTGACGCAGAGGAGCCCATGTGACTGAGCGTGGTTTGAGTCCTGGACTCGGTGGCTTGAGGAATATACGGACTGCTTGCCTAGACTCCCAGGAGGAAGATGGAGAAGGGATGATGGTCTAGCCATCCCCCCGGGGGTGACTTCTCATTCTACTTCTCTCTTTCTGTCTCTCTCTCCAGCAAGCACATGTGCCCTACAACAAAGATTTTTAAAAATAAAAAAATTTTAAAAAGGTGAATCCTTATTTTATTTTCTTTGGAGAGGTTTTTGTTATAGGGTACATGTACACGCCAGAAATAGAGAGAGACAGAGAGACAGAAAGTGAGAAATCGCCCCCAGGGGGGATGGCCACGCCACAATCCCCTCTCCTCTCGGGATCTTGGGCACGTATGCACATGCGCCCGGCATGAGTTTAAGCCACCAGGTCCGGGACTTGAACTACAGTTGACTGGAAGTCCAGCAATATTGCCATTACCAACTGCTGGTCCCCAAAAGGTGAATCTTTGATAATAATAATAATTTGAATGAAATTCGCTACAAGTACTCCTTTCCCCAAACACTTCCTACCTCCCAAATGTTGGTGTAATGGTAGCTTCTGTTTTTGTTCCCCTGAATCTTCCCGTGTTTGTGTAAGTCCCAGGGGTGACGTGAGGGGCTGGGGCTAGGACTGGGCTGAGCCAGGGAGGCTGCAGACACGTGAGGAAGACGGAGTGACGGTGGGCAGACTGCAGCCCAGAGGCCGCGGAGTGTGGGCAGCTGAAGCAGAAAGTCACAGGTCACCAACACTGAGCTCCAGGTGGGTGCCAAATGGTGAGAACTCAGCCAGCCAACACGCACTCCTGAACAGCAGGTGGGCGGGGGTCCTATGTGGGGAGCCACGGGAAGAAAGGGGAAGACGAGCAGGCCCGGGAAGAGTCTAAGGGATTCTGACAAGACGCCTCGAGGTGCCGGGGGAGCCGCAGTTAGAAGCCTGGGCTCTGGAAGGGGCTGCTCTGCTGCATGCAGCGGGACTGCGGCAGCTGCCCGGGGCCTGGGACCCACATACACTGGCCGCCTTCCCTCCACAGTCATGGCCCACACCCTGGCGGGTGAGTGCGCCAGAGGGGACCCGGCCAGGCAGGAGGCGCGGACTCACGAGATGACGGTCTACACCTGGCTGGGCTTCCCTGGCACGTCCCTCTCACACAGGGCTCCGCTTTATTTCCATACTCCGTGCCTCTGACTTTTTGAACATTTCTTCAATGGTGTGAGAGAAACAGAGACAGAGACAGAGGGGGCCCCTTCCACAGGCACCGTCCCCCCCACAGCCTTCCCGGCCTATGAGGACCCCAGGCACTGGTGCTGAGAGCTGGGCCGCCCGGGACCAAGCCCCATCTCCCGTGGGGTCCCCCCCCAGCTGCTGCCTCACCTCTGCTCTCTTCAGCATCTCCCACTTGTTGAGGATTTTCATCGCATAAATCCGTTCCGTGTTCTTCATTTTGACGACGGCAACCTGGAACACAAACGTGAGTGTAACGAAACCTTAGGAGGACAAAGGCTGGTGCGGGAGAATGCAGTGTGCCCAAGTGACACCCCAAACGCCTGAGCCTGGAGGACAAACCCGGAGCGGGGTGCCACTTTCCGTATAAACCAGAGTAAGTCAGAAAGCACCCTGCAGCAAAGGGTGGGGGGATGGTCAGGCTGCAATCCCTTCTCCTCCACTCTCCTCTCAAGAGCACACATACACACGACATATTTTCCAAGCTGTCGGGTCTGAGACTTGAGCCACGCAGTCAGCCATGGGGGATCCAGATGCCTTAACCTCAAAGCCACCTGCTGGCCCCCCACCCATGCTTTTAAAAACTATATTATCGGGGCCAGCAGGTGGCATGGTAGTTAAAGCGCTGGACTTTCATATGACGGACCACGATTCAAGTTCCAGACCTGGTGGCTTGCTTTCTTGCTTTCTCCCTGTCTTTCTATGATCAAATTAAAAAATAATAATGAACAAAATTAAACAATTAATTTAAGAAAACACTGCATTATAATGACAATCACAATGAAATACAATGCTCCCTGGGTTACGGCGTGGCTCCACAATGAACTGCAGTGACTGGCCCCTGCACCTGCTGAGGCCAACGCCACCATCAACACTCCAGGGTCCACCAGCTTTCCTCTGCCAGTCTGACTGTCCTTCTCCTGTCACCTCCCCACCACCACCCTTCCTGTCACACCTAAGTTAACGTATGGCTATGTGGCTGGACTCAAGTCAACAGCAGTTCAAGTCCCAGACCCAGCAGCTTAAAACTCACACTGGGTGCATGTGTGTGCATATCCCAAGATGAGAATGGAGGAGAAGGGACTGCAGTGTGGCCATCCCCCCAGGGGGTGATTTCTTGCTTTCTGTCTGTCTCTCCAGTGAGCACACATGCCCTATAGCAAACATCTAATTAAGAAAGAAAGACACTAAAGACCAAGCTTGCTAGAACTCTGAATGAAAAATAAGTAGTGCCTTGGGCCAGCTATTGCCTAGTGGTCAAGGGAGCCAGATGGCACATGGCTAACCGTAGGGCTCACGTCACAAAATCCCATCAAGATGGAGAGATGGGGCCAGCAAGTGAAGCAGTGGGTAAGGCACTGGACTCTCACATGGCCAACCATGGTTCAAGTCCCAGATCCAGTAGCTTGACATTCATGCCAGGTGCATGTGCACGCATGCCCAAAATCCCAAGAAAAGAAGAGAAGAGAAAGGATTACAGCATGGCCATCCCTCCGGGGAGCGACCTCTCACTTTCCCTCTCACTGTCTTTCTGGTAAGCACTCGAGCCCTAGAGCAACCACCCCTCAAAAAAAAAAAAAAAAAAAAAAGATGGGGCTGTGGAGGAGGAGGGCTGATGGTGTGCCAGGTCCCACTGGGGGCACTTTCTCCCTCTGGCAACTGTTCTTGAACATTTAAAACAGCATTAAATAAACAGAGCCTGCACAAAGGCTCGGTGAGCGCCAACGTGGGACAGTGAGGGCCCGGGACACCACTTCACTACGATGAGAACACCTACTTCCTCCTGGGAGCTGGCTGTAAGCTAGATAAGTAAGATATCAGCATTTTTAAACTACATGATGGTGGGACCGGCGGTTAGTGTAATGGCTATGTCGCTGGACTCCCATGTAGTCGATCACAGTTCGAGTCCCAGACTCGGTGGTCTAAAACTCACACGGGGCATGTGTGCGTGCGTGCCCAAGATTCCAAGAGGAGAATGGAGGAGAAGGGATTGCAGTGTGGGCATCCCCCTTGGGGGGTGATTTCTCACTTTCTGTCTCTCTCTTGTCTGTCTGGCGAGCGCACACGCCCTATAGCAAAAACCTCTTCAAAAAAAAAAAAAAAGCAAACAAGAAAAACACCTTTTTTAAAATTCATGATTCAGTTGTATTGTGGTTCTCTAAAAATAATTCCTATTTTAAATTTAAACATACAGAAGACAAAACTAAGCAACTTTCAGAAATAAGCCTTTTAATGTTTTATGCAATAGTAGCCTTTTTTTTTTTTTTTTGGGGGGTTTTTGCGTGCACTTTCCAGAAAGACAGAAAGCGAGAAATCACCTCTTCAGGGAGGATGGCCATGCTGCAATCCCTTTTCCTCCATTCTCCTCTCGGGATCTTGGGCATGCACGCACATGCACCTAGCCTGAGTTTAAGCTACTGGGTCTGGGACTCAAACCGTGGTCAACTACATGGGAGTCCAGCGATGTAGACATTATGCCATCTGCTGGTCCCAATAGCAGCTTTTCTTTTTGGGAGGTAGAAGGAGAGGTCTTTGCTATAGGGCGTGTGCGCTCATCAGAAAGACAGAGAGAGACAGAAAGCGAGAAATCACCCCCCCGCCCCCTGGAGGATGGCCACACCACAATCCCTTCTCCTCCGTTCTTCTCTCAGGATCTTGGGCACGCACGCACATGTGCCCGGTGTGAGTTTAAGCCACTGGGTCCGGGACTCAAACTGCGGTCTAACTGCTGGTCCTTTTTGAGAGGAGCGGCTTTTTGTTTTTGTTTTTTAAGAGAGATTTTTGCTATAGGGCACATGCCCTCACCAGAAAGAGAGAAAAGGATAGAAAGTGAGAAATCACCCCACCCTGGAGGGCGGGTGGCCATGCCATAATCCCTTTTCCTCCATTCTCCTCTCAGGACTTTGAGCACATATGCAAATGCACTTGGCCTGAGTTTTAAGCTACCGGGTCTAGGCCTCAAACCAGGGTCAGCTATGTGGGAGCCGAGTGACATAACCATTATGTCATCTGCTGGTCTTGATAGCAGCTTTATTAGTTACAAAAACCTAATAAGCCCATATACAAAATTAGGAACACATTTTTAGATATGTCTTTTGAACTGAGTTTTAAAAACAAAATAAATTTTTAAACAGAGCTATGAAAACTTAAAAGTGCAACAACATACTTAGTTCCCCTCACCTGTGAAATGGCACAGCTGCAATTCACAACTGCTGAGGGCATAGCAGAGAGTCAGCAAATGCACACGTCTGCACTTGAGCTAGTGTTCATTGAAATGTCAACTTCCACTTAAAACACAAGACGAATAGGAATCTTCACAGAAGACACCAAATTTTAATATTAATGTGTGAATAATTTAAAAGGTAACTGTCAGTTAAGTATGGAGAGTCCAGAAGAAAAGGAAACACCTTTTTTTTTCTTCAGAGAGAAAATTATGCTCTAGGATGCGTGCACTCACTGGAGAGATAGAAAGCAAGAGACCATTCCCTGGGGAGATGGCCATGCCGCAGTCCCTTCTCCATTCTTCTCTCAGGATTTTGGACATGCAGACACATGCCTCAGCGTGTTTCAAGCCTCTGGGTCTGGGACTCGAACTGCAGTCAGCCATGTGGGAATCCAGCGCTGTAACTGCTGTGCCATGTGCTGGTCCCACAGAACACACGTTTTTAGAACAAACGTTTTCTATGCTGAGGTCACAGGGGAAGTCCCAGGTATACACATCCCACGGTCTCCCTCAGCATGTGCCCGCGACCTTGGCTGGTGGGATCTCAAGTGTCAGACCCTGCTGGGGTGCCCGTCTCTCTCTTCTGTCTCATGTAAGAAATAAATAGGCTAAAAAGATGACGATGATCATGGAGTGACTTAGAAAATTGGTATAAGGACAGGAGATTAGATTTAAAATGTTTTGTCAGTTTAAAATGTAAACGTATGAGCTGTGGTTATGTGAGGGACGATCCCTAGTAGAAACCAGGCACTGAAGTATAGGGGTGAAGGGCCTTGCTTCACGTAGGCAGATTATTCTTAGTAGTTCAAAAAAAGTACAAGCGCGCGGGCACACACACACACACACACACACACACACACACACACACAGAGAGCCAGGCATGATAAAGGACATGGTACTATGTTAACAAAGGACAATCCGGGTAAAAATCAGACTGGTATTCCTGAACCAACTATTCACAGCACTGTTCCGCTATCTGACCGTTTCTAAGCACAGTTCTGCTTCTTTCTTTTCCAAGCAATTCTAGGAACCAATGGCTGGCAGGCGGGCCTCAGTCAGGAAGGTGCGACTCAAGTCTTGCTTTTCCACGGCTCACCCCGCTGCACCTCAGTGTCTCCTTTTCCCGATGGAGCTGCAGAACGCCTGAGGGTGCAGACAGCACCGCAGGCTTCGATGCACTCCTGCAGGCAAAGAGTGCCCTGCCTGCTGCTCACCGCGCTGCCAGCTGCGGGGCTGTCATGTCCCACACACGCCCCTGGCACAGCTTCACATTAGCTGGGAACTGACCCTCCACAGGGGATGCCAACCACAAAGGAACTTCCTACACTGGACTGCCCCGAGAGACAAAGAAGGCCTTTCAAAGCCGCTCTGCTCAAGGAAAGGGGAATGCCTCTGATCCTTGTTAAATACTAACCTGGAAATGTTTCCTTAAGCTCTGCATGAAGCTGAGGGCCTCGTCCACTCACGCTGGGCAAGTGCGGCCAGGCTGCCTGTCCAGTGCCACAAGGACACACATCTGAGCCCCACTGCAGACTCTCCCCGCTCAGGTTCGGCACTAGGAAAACTACCCAGCTGTGGCCATGTGTGGAGAACACTGCTGGTCCCGAGGTAGCTAAGAGTGTCCTGACTCTGACTCACTGTAAAGCCACCTGTAGACAGAAGGACCCTGAGGGGCAGACCCTGGAAGCAGGGATCTGAGGAAGGGCCTGCACTGCCCAACACTGAGGGGCCACCCACAGCCTCCCTGAAGGACCTGGCAGCCTCCTGCATGGATTCATGTGCCCTCTGCCCTCCTGCTCCTGCAGAGCCAATGGACTCATAACAGCACAAGTGCGGAGGGCAAGCCAATTACAAATCATTTCTTAGAACACGCCAAGAAGGCCACCAGGCGGCGCAGTGGGTAAGGTACTGAACTCCCACGTGGTCGAGGCCAGCTCGAGACCCGACCCCAGGACTTGAGTATCAGGTCAGGAGCATGTACATGCATGCCCCAAACCCCAAGAATGGAGAAGGGTTGCAGCATGGCCATCCCCTCTGGGGGGTGATTTCTCACTTCCCCTCTCTCAATTTCTGGTGAGCGCGCATGCACTACGGCAATAAAACCTGAAGAAAAAAACAAAAGAAAGTGCCAAGAAAATTTTCAACTAACAAACGGATATTTTAAAAATGTATTCATGTTGATAAGAAACTATCTGGTCCAACAATATGCACAGTAATCCAACAGTCATACATTTTGGGGGTTCCCCCTCTTTTTAATTCTGTCTTTTACATTTTGTTTATAGAGAACTCCCAAATAGTGCCAACAACTTAACCCATCCCCGAATCAAGGTTCAAGTACATTAAAAAGGTGAAATGGAAGCTGTTGCTCTTTTGCCAATCTAGGCAAAATTAACAAAGCAAAACTTTATCTTACCTCACCAAAAGCACCTCTTCCAATTACTTTAATGATTTCAAAGTCTTCTCGATGGAGCTGCATGTCCTTCACCAGTTGGGTAAACGGCTTAGCTACAAATAAAAAAGAAAAATCAACAATTTAGTCTAACAAGCTGATACAATATAAACATGGGATTCATGGGGCCAGCAGGTAGCGTGGTGGTCAAGGCACTAGACACTCCCGCATGACTGACCATGGTTTGATCCCCGGACCTGGTAGCTTGCTTTCTCACTTTCCCTCTCTCTCTGTGTCTCTGTCAAATTTAAATAAATGAATGAATAAATAAATAATAAATAATTTTTTAAAATGTAACTTAATTGGGCCTAGCCTTCTGGCCTAGCAGTCAAAAGGGCCAGACCCCATATGGCTGACGATCATTTGAATCTTGGCCTGGCAGTTTGAAAACCTTATGCCCCAAATCCCAACAAGACGGAGAAATGAAGAAGGGATTGCAACATGACCATGCTCCCCTAGGGTGGGGAGGGGTGCTTTCTCCCTGTCCTTCTCTCTTCTCTGGAGAGCACAATGGAGCCTCTGGCAATAAAAAAAAATAAAATCTAATTGATTAGGGCATCCCACGAAATTATAATGTTTTAGGGGGGAAAGTATCATTTTTTTTAAGAGAGATTTTTGCTATAAGGCATGTGAGCTCACTGGAGAAACAGAGTGAGAAATCAGCCCCTGGGGGATGGCCACACTGCAATCTCTTCTCCATTCTCCTCTCACGATGTTGGGCATGCACACACATGTGCGTGGCGTGAATTTCAAGCCACTGGGTCCTTGAGCCGTAGCTGACTACGTGGCAGTCTGGTGACGGAACCATTACGTCATCTGCTGGTTCCAAAATAGTTTAATTCTTAAAATATTTTATATCTAAAAATGTGCAGAAAGTTGGTGTTTACCTTAAATGTGGTTGTCTATCATGGCCAGCTACAGTTCAGTATCTACTGTCACAAACACATCGCTACAAAACTCTGGTAAAGTTCTTTGCATCTCCTGGTCAACAGAAGGTTCGCGTCTTAAGAGAGGAACCGACTGGTGAGATCCCACCCGCCTCGGGCAACAGCGCATCGCAGCGCCACCGACTGGCCGTTCCCCAGCCCCAAATACTCCACCACCGCTTGGCAGAGTATCACTGGGCAGTGGGCAAAGCTCAGAAGGCTCTCGGTGCCATTTCCCATGCTGCGTGTTTAACTACAACTAGTGCCAAAGAAAGGAGCAGTCTGACTTGGCCTGGGCCTTTATTCCCAGGACATCTGTATCAGTAGCCCAGTTTTCTACTTGTTTCCAATGGAAGCTGTTGCTCTTTTGCCAATCTAGGCAAAATTAACAAAGCAAAACTTTATCTTACCTCACCAAAAGCACCTCTTCCAATTACTTTAATGATTTCAAAGTCTTCTCGATGGAGCTGCATGTCCTTCACCAGTTGGGTAAACGGCTTAGCTACAAATAAAAAAGAAAAATCAACAATTTAGTCTAACAAGCTGATACAATATAAACATGGGATTCATGGGGCCAGCAGGTAGCGTGGTGGTCAAGGCACTAGACACTCCCGCATGACTGACCATGGTTTGATCCCCGGACCTGGTAGCTTGCTTTCTCACTTTCCCTCTCTCTCTGTGTCTCTGTCAAATTTAAATAAATGAATGAATAAATAAATAATAAATAATTTTTTAAAATGTAACTTAATTGGGCCTAGCCTTCTGGCCTAGCAGTCAAAAGGGCCAGACCCCATATGGCTGACGATCATTTGAATCTTGGCCTGGCAGTTTGAAAACCTTATGCCCCAAATCCCAACAAGACGGAGAAATGAAGAAGGGATTGCAACATGACCATGCTCCCCTAGGGTGGGGAGGGGTGCTTTCTCCCTGTCCTTCTCTCTTCTCTGGAGAGCACAATGGAGCCTCTGGCAATAAAAAAAAATAAAATCTAATTGATTAGGGCATCCCACGAAATTATAATGTTTTAGGGGGGAAAGTATCATTTTTTTTAAGAGAGATTTTTGCTATAAGGCATGTGAGCTCACTGGAGAAACAGAGTGAGAAATCAGCCCCTGGGGGATGGCCACACTGCAATCTCTTCTCCATTCTCCTCTCACGATGTTGGGCATGCACACACATGTGCCTGGCGTGAATTTCAAGCCACTGGGTCCTTGAGCCGTAGCTGACTACGTGGCAGTCTGGTGACGGAACCATTACGTCATCTGCTGGTTCCAAAATAGTTTAATTCTTAAAATATTTTATATCTAAAAATGTGCAGAAAGTTGGTGTTTACCTTAAATGTGGTTGTCTATCATGGCCAGCTACAGTTCAGTATCTACTGTCACAAACACATCGCTACAAAACTCTGGTAAAGTTCTTTGCATCTCCTGGTCAACAGAAGGTTCGCGTCTTAAGAGAGGAACCGACTGGTGAGATCCCACCCGCCTCGGGCAACAGCGCATCGCAGCGCCACCGACTGGCCGTTCCCCAGCCCCAAATACTCCACCACCGCTTGGCAGAGTATCACTGGGCAGTGGGCAAAGCTCAGAAGGCTCTCGGTGCCATTTCCCATGCTGCGTGTTTAACTACAACTAGTGCCAAAGAAAGGAGCAGTCTGACTTGGCCTGGGCCTTTATTCCCAGGACATCTGTATCATTAGCCCAGTTTTCTACTTGTTTCCTCTTTTTTTTAAGGGTTTTGCTACAGGGCATGGGTGCTCACTGGAGAGGAGAGAGACACTGGGGAGGGAGAGACCACCGCCCACCCCGGGGACGGTCAGGCCACAATCCCTTCTCCTCCATTTGCCTCCTGGGATGGGGCAGGTACCCCTGTACGGCATCATTCTCAAGCCCTCAGGTCTGGGACTCAAACTGCAATCAGCCATGTGGGAGTTCAGCAACTTAACCACTCACCACCTGCTGGCCTCCATCCTCCTCTTTAAATAACAGCCCAGTACCACGGAGGGCTGGAGCCGGCCTGGTGGTGTGGCAGGCAGCAAACTGAACGGCAGTGCTAGATGGCTGACTGTGGGTTTGGATCCCTGGGTTGGCCTAAAAACACACCAGGTGCACGCCCAAGGCCCTAACAGGCGGGGCCTGGGGGCAGAGGGCCCGGACCACCACCTTGGAGCTCACACATACATTCGCTCTCATGTACAAAAGGCAAATGAACTTGAAAAAAGTACACTGCTCACCACCACTGGCTCACGCCCAGTACCGACAGCGCGAGTGACGGTGCCTGCGACAGTCAGCCGGACTATAGACGCCGACCCCGCAGAGACGCTTCAGCGCAGCAGCAGAGCGGCCCTCAGGCCACAGTTACTCAGGAAAGGCGGGGCCCCAAGCCGCAGTAAAAGGTCATCTGCAGTTCATCTTATTTCGAATGTCACCAAAAATAACCATTCCCAAAATCCTAGCTGAAATAAGCCTTTTTTTTAACTTTGCTTGCCAGAGAGAGAGAGAAATCACCTCCCGGGTGAGATGGCCACACTACCACCCCTTCTCTACTCTCCCTGGGATTGGGGCATGAACGTGCCCCGGAGTAATCGCCATGCCACGGGTCCAGGACAGACGGCACGGGAGCACTGTAACGGCATGCAGCAGTGAGGGCCACAGTGAAGGACACCAGGGTAGAAAAAACAGATCCCGGGCAGACGCCCCTGCCAACCACACAGGCACGGCCGCCGAGCAGACGACTAGGAAAGACGGATGGGCCACGCCAAGAGGGACAGACAGAATCCAGGACAAAGCCCACAGCAATCATTAAACGAAGAACTGCCAGCAGGTGGTGTGGAGCAGGCGCTGGACTCCCACATGTCTGACCGTGGTTCAAGTCCCAGACCTGGTGGCTTAATTTCTCACTTTCCTTCCTTCTCTCTGGTCAAATTAATTTTGGGAGGGCGGGGAGAGATTTTCACTATAGGGCGCATGCACTCGCCAGACAGACAGACAGACAGAGACAGACAGAAAGACAGAAAGCGAGAAATCACCCCCCAGGGGGAATGGTCATGGCGCAGTCCCTTCTCCTCCGTTCTCCTCTCGGATCTTGGGCATGCACGCACATGCGCCCGGCGTGAGTTTTAAGCCACCGGGTCCAGGACGCAAACCACAGTCAACTACATGGGAGTCCAGCGACACAGCCATTACGCTAACTGCTGGTTCCCAATTAATTAATTCTTAAAAAAAGAAAACTTAGTACTGTACGAAGAACAGCTAGAGAACTAAAAAGTTTAAAAGGGCACACATTAAGCTATGAAGCTACAGCGTCTGCATGCAATGACTGCTCTGAGATTAGGGGCATAAAGGGAAAAGGTTGGAATTTTTAAAACTAAGAAACCTAGGTGGGGCAGCCATGGTGTGGTGGTCAAGGCAGCAGGATTCCCACATGGCTGACTGCCGAGTCCCAGCCCCGGTGGTCTGAGACATATGCTGGGCAAATATGCCCACCCGCAGCCCCAACGGGGGTAAACAGAGGAGAGGGGACTGCAGCGTGCCCATGCCCAGGGTGGCTGTTTCTCACTTTCCCTCTCCGTCTCCCTCTGGTGAGCGCGTGTGCCCTCTGGGCAGAAAAAGACAGAAACCTGTAAAACTCAGGCTCTGTTCTCTGAGGGGGGATTCAGAGACCAGCTGAGGCTGCATTTCTGAGGGGACTGCGACAGCTGTCCTGCAGGTGTGGAGGACTTCAGCCTCAGCGGCCTGCTGCGGAAGGAAACCCGCTGCAGGAGGAAGCTGCCGTGCGTCACTGACCGCTGAACGCTGCCCGCTGCGGAGGAGGGTGCAGGCGGCCTCGCAGTCTGCCTCTGGCACCCCTCTTAGGCAAAGCCTAGCAGGGAGCTGAGGACCAGAGCTCACCCCCCAGTGTGTGACTGATCTCTCACGTACAGGGGGGCTCATCAAGCTAATGGATTCAGAGTGACTAGAGTCAGGTTCCCCGCCATCAGAGGAGGGTGTTACAGATACAGGCGAAATCTAGACAGGAAGGCACAGGAGCTTCAGAAACTTCATGGAAATGAGTACTATGAATTAAAGGTTTTGTCAAGCGCGTGTGAAAGGGAAAGTGAGGACTCACTTTCCCGATTTACAAGAAATCACTTGTACTGGGGACAGCTACAATACAATCCCTTCTCCTCCATTCTCCTCCTGGGAGCTTGGGCACACACACGCAGGTGCCCAACATGATTTTCAACCCACCAGGTTCAGGACTCGAACCATGGTCAGCCACGTTGGAATCCAGAGCGGTAACTATTACGTCACCTGCTGGCCCCAATTTCACCTTTTTTTTTGCACCAAAATAAACTTGTACTTCCATTCCACTTGTCCTGACCTTGTCGAGGTAGCCCCGGTACACGCACAGGCGCAGGCAGGCCCGCCGCGGAGTCCGGCTGTCTAGAGGGTGGAAAGCGGCGACACTCTGACTGGTCCCAGCGCCAGACCCGGGTTTGCCACACCTTGCTCCAGCAGAGGAACCAGCTCCCTGGGCAAGTCCAGGCTGGGTCAGGAAAGCACCAGGTGAGCCTGGAGCATCTCACTGTGTCAGGATGGACAGACGAGCTGAGAACGACAGGGCAGCATGGCCATCCCCCCTGGGGGGTGATTTCTCACTTTCTGTCTCTCTGTCTCTGTCTGTCTGTCTGGCGAGCACATGGGTCCTATAGCAAAAACCTCTCCAAAAAAAGAAAATTACACAGGGTATGTGTGTGTGCCGAAAATCCCAGGAGGAAAATGGAGGAGAAGGGATTGCGGTGTGCCCCCTGGGGGGGGGGGTGATTTCTCACTTTCCTTCTGCCTGTCTCCTTGTCTCTCTCCAGCAAGCAAACATGCCTTATGACCAAAAATACCCCCTCTAAAAAAAGAGAAAGGAAAAGGTACCAAGTGCACGACAGAGTGATACGAAGGTCACAGAAATGAGGACCAGGCTGCAGGGGAAGCAGCGCCATGCGTTGGTGCCAGTGCCAGGGAGGCTGCCAGCTTCCAGGATGCCCGTCTGTCACCAGAGTAGCCTGCATACATACCAGGGTCTTCCAACAGCTCACAGAAATGCATATGATGAAAAAACCATGCATGCATTTCAAAATTTTTCTGCAGCACAGTAAATGTATACTTTAATTCCATTTCTCCAGAAACTTTCTGAAGTCCCTTACACATCCTAAACTTAAGAAAAAGTCAGTCATGGAACCAGCAGTTAGCATAATGGCTATGTCGCAGGACTCCCACGTAGTCGACCGCGGTTCGAGTCCCGGACCCGGTGGCTTAAACTCACGCCAGGGGCGTGTGCGTGCATGCCCAAGATCCTGGGAGGAGAATGGAGAAGGGACCGTGGCGTGGCCATCCCCCCCCGGGGGGGGGATTTCTCGCTTTCTAGCTCTGTCTGTCTCTGTCTGTCTGGTGAGCGCACACGCCCTACAGCAAAAACCTCTCAAAAAAACAAAAAAAAAAAAGAGAGAGAAAGCCAGTCAAAGTACAG